GTCCGTCTTTTCTCCCACCTATCCGCTCCTCTCACCTCACTGACCAACCCCCACCCCCACCTCCGACCTACCAGCCTCATCCCCACCTCCTTGACCTGTCCATCTTCCATTGACTGACCAATCCCCATCCTAACTCCCCACCTACACTCACCTTTACTGGCTCCATCCCTGCCTCTTTGACCTGTCCATCTCCTCTCCACCTATCTGCTCCTTTATCCATCTTCCATCCACCGCCTCCTCTTTCTCTATTTATTTCAGAATCCCGTTCCCCTCGCCCATTTCTGAAGGGTCCAGACCCAAAACATCAGCTTTCCTGTTCCTCTGATGCTGCTTGGCCTACTGTGTTCATCCAGCTTTACACCTTGTTATCTCAGATCAGTTTGGGATATCTGGTTGGCATGGACAAGTTAGACCAAAGGATCGGTTTCCTTGCTGGACAACACTATCTGGCACAGTCCTCCTCCCCATCGCTGACTGTCCCCTCGGCAATCCTGATCTCTTGCTCCCTCACCCCAGACCCCAAAACTCCAAAGTCTGCATAGCACGATTTAAGGTGGCACCGAGCATGCATGTTCTGGTGTCAGCAAACTCAGCCAAGATTTTATAAAGGTGAACCAGCCACCCTGTACCTTCTACAAGCAAAATAAACTATCCGAAGGAGAATCAAGGAGCAACATGTCCTGATAAGCTAAAAAGAACAATTACAGCTAACACTGAACAAGGATCACTGAACTTTCCCAGCCCTTTTCTCCACCAGAAAATCGATGTTTCTTTCTGTCTGTCTGTATGTGTATGAAATTGGTAATGTTGCGTGGGTTAAGAGTTTTAATTGGTAGATAGGTTGATGGTTTAAAACTGGTTATCTGCATCTGCAATCTAATTATTCTAAATAAATAGCAATTCTAGTTAAGTAAAGAAACTTGATTAGTTCTTTCTGTCAACCTGGATCTAAAAGGCATGTTCATTGGGGGGAATTTTACATATTTTTATGAAATCATTAACCTGAGCTCTTAGAGGTAGAGATACTATCACTGTACTCTGAGTTGAAGTCCCATCTGCTACAGAGGTGTATAAAAACATCCCTGACAGGTTGATTAGAAAATTTCTGGAATCATTAACTTTTGTGACAACTCCAAGAATATCCAGCTTGATTTCCAGTGCACTCCCAGTGAGGTGTACCATCAGTATGATCTACTGAATACTGAAGCATCTTGAGGAGTTGAGTAGCGTACTCATCCACATAATTCGTAGACATGTTTATATCTGCTTCTCCCTGGAACAATCTTCGAATCAAATTTTTTTTTACAATAGTATTCTTTTTAAACAGCAAGTCAGATACTGCTTCCTTTCTTCTGCAGGGACCCAATCTGTTAAGAGAACGACCATCCATTACTAAGACTTTGGTCAAATCCAAATCTACGATGTAAGACAGTATCATTTCATCAGCTACTACACCCAGTTCCCAGTCACGGCAACAGGACTAGAGGTTTATGCAGAGCAGATAGCTTTGAACATCAGACAAGAGAAAAGAATTCAGGAATATTAAAAAAAAATGTTATAAGTTTCAATTTATTAGCAGATGAATAAAAGAAACAATTTCTACACTGCAGCAGCTATCAATGGACATCTAACGGTTTGGAATCCGCACAGTCAAAGCAATACAATTTATTGAAATATACACAGCAACCCTCATCCACAGACTGGGTCATTAACCAAGCATGTATTTCACAGTGACACATACTCACAGGGGCTCCATGGTACCTTCCTTTTGATTCAAAAGAAAATATCCGTACCGGTTTAAACTCACCCCTTCATTTTGTTTATCTTTTGTACATTAAAAGTAAAGCTGTAGTCTAGGAGAGGCTCATGTAGTTGAAATCAGAATCGTCATCATACCACTACAGTATACAGTTAAATAGAGGCATTTGTACAAATTTCATTTAAAAAAAAACAGAATAGTTGGAAAGAGGAACCACAGGGAGAAATAAACTGGTCTGAAAGCTTATCAAACCAGGAATTATTCACAGTGTTTAAACTAGCTGCAATGAAATAAACTGAAAGGAACACTCAAAAACCAAAGTTTCTGCACATGTGTAAGTGCTGAATGACATTCAGCCATAAGGGGACTGCAGAAGGATTTAGCTGTGGGTTGCACCTTTGGGGATCTGTGGGTAAATTGGGGTAGGAAAGGGAAAATAACATGAGGATGAAGAGGAGGAGGAGGAGAAGGAGTTACTCCAAGATTATTCGCCAGGCATGAATGAACTGGAGAACATAAAATTTCAAACCGAAAAGAAGTGATAGATGGAACAAACAAAACGTGGGTGTTTTCCATAAAGCAGTATGCATTTAAAAACTGGGATCCAAAAATTTGACACCAATTTGTTTTAATAAAATCAGAGTTACTTTAATCCTCATCTGAAAATAGTTTCCAGAAAATAAAATGATTATATATGATCCAACCCAATATAGTGGGGACTGACTAAACCCACTAAGAAAATCTTGTACTTTTTCAACCTTGTGTGATGGAACTTCTGCAGGGTATTACAATCAGTGTTAAATGGATTAACTTTCCAATCTGCTAAAAAGACTTATCAAGTTCTCATGAAATCCACCATAATAACCTATGAACTCTAAGAACATCTTTAACTCTGTTGGATATTTATTGGAACAGGAGCAAACAGAATGATTTGTCTGTAAGCACCAAGGTCTCCTCCCCGAAGAAAAGCAGCTCCAGTATTTAAAATATTTAAAATTATTAGAAAAAGGTACAAGAGTAACTTTTGTGAGGAATTAGTTGGCAACACATATTTGCACCACATCTTTTAACGGCTGATCAATAATGTGCAAAACATCACCTTCCATTAGCTGCACATGCCTAAATATTGAAAGGTGAAATGAATGTTAAATAGATGGGTGAGTTGGTGATGGGGAAAACAAAACAATCCAGATCTTTAAGTGAAAACAGGGTGACCCTAAGCAAACAGGTTTTCAGAACATGACTGTATTCTCACTCTCCTGGAGAAATAATAAAATCTGATCTCTCACACATAGACTGACCAACTGTGCAAAAGAGTTGTGTTGACCCACTGAAAAGGGATGTGCACAAACCTTATTTTTAGACATTTTCCAGGGATCCATTTCTGCTGTTCATACCATCTATCTGATGTGATGGATTAACATTTTCTGGGCCAAAAACATAATTTAATCTTGCTCTGCTGATATTAAGATTTATTCCGAGACAATGTTCTTGTTTTGATTGTAGATTTCTATTTCTGGGAGAATGTTTGCTTCAGAATGATAATGCCTGCTGCTCACAGTGACAACTAGATTAATGATTATGTGAACAAGTTCTCCAAGTAGATTATGACCAGAGAATGCAAAGTTTCCAGTTTGTGTTCGGCTTTGGACAAAAGTCAGTCTACCTCAATTTTACTATGATCTTCCTTCCTTCCACAATCCACCATCATTTCAGACTCAAGAGAAACAAAAGTACGATCCCAGAAATTTGGGAGCAATACTAAGAGCTACAGTCAAAATTACTTCTTCTTAGAAAGGCTTTGTTATCAAGAATACAAGCACCAATCCTAAATAACTAGGCAGAAGTGCCTTTGAAAGTTGCACCCTCTGGTTGCAAGTCACCAGGAACTAGACTATGTACCTCTATCTGAGCCGCTCCCCCTAGGATGTCTGCATAGGACCTATAATTTCAGATAATGATTTTCTAAGAAAACGAAACACGACTTATTTCACAAGCCAACCAAATGTGATTACCACAGACTGCCAAACTGCATTTTACTGGAGATGAATTGTGCAATATTTTGCCTTAGTCCTTTAATAAAATCAATATAAAAGTTGAACCTAATTTAAAAAAAAACAGAAAAGACATTTGACTAGTCCAGTGTTGTTAGTCCTTAATGATGTTTTAGAGGACAGCTAGAGAATGCAGCCTGGCTATTGTATATTAGTAGCAGTGTGGATGATTCTACCTCAATTAGAGACTTATTAAAAATGTTCTGCACAGACAGTGCCACTAAATCTAGACCAACATTAGTGTTAATGATCAACCAGACTGGTTTGCTGTTTTACTTTATTCCTGCACCCTCTAAACGTGGACATGAACATTTACTTTGCATGCAGAACCAATGTAACTTCTGAACAAAACCAGATGGCAATAACCATATATCCTCAAAGTTCCCTTACCTTCAATAACAATGGCATAACGATTCTGTAGCTGTCTACAAACTCGGAAACTTCAGTTTAATTTGAGGGAGGAACAAATCTAATTTATTTAAGCAAATTAATAACTTATTGTCTTAAGTAGTCACTTTTTCCATATTTCAATAAGGAAGAGCTTCTGTAGATGCCACTCCAGGCAATGCCTTAATCTTGAGAGGATCCAAGTCAGATATGGGAGCTTAAGACTTCAATAGAAAGCTTCAATACAGTCAATTATGCGGACCTTCACTTTTTGGAACCAAATGCCATCAAGCCAGGCCACTGCAACATTTAGCAACAATTCCAAAGTTAAATAATTTGTAACCTTGAGATTCTGCCTAGCTTTTGTTGACTAACATTGACTAGCAGGATTTGTAGCAAAATCCCTTCAAGCAGGTTACAAGTTACTGGGTAAACTTGCACGAAGTTTTGTGAAATTACAATTCCCTTGTACCCAACCCAAGTAGTACATTCCACAATAAGCAATTTCACCATCTAATTTTCTCAATGCTCCATCAGAATTCACCACACAAAGCTGCACTCTAGTTTTGTAGTGTAGCAATATCCTTGTCTGAACAGGCTTGGATTTGAATTCTATGCGAAACCAGAGGGAAAGTTAATTCGTCACACATTATCTTACCACTGTGAAAAGTTAAGATCAAAATACTCAATGTGAAAATAAAGACGTATTTGCTCCCTATTAATAAAAGGAGGATCCTTAAACATTCTCTGGTTTGGAATGAGGGTTAATAGATTGATTCCAGGTAACAAAGGTGTACTGTGTGCAAGGACATTGGCTGAAACTTACATATCTCATTAGGGGCTAGTCTGTGACCTCAAGAAACTTGCTGATAAAAATTCTGGAGGTGGATAAGCAACAGTGATGCAGTGAGACCCACTGAGAAAGGTCATACTCATTCAAAGTAGGAACAGGATAATGTTACAGACGGAAAATGAAAGATAAAGGAATCAAATGGGAAGGCAGAGTGAGGGAGAAAACTGATGCGATTAAGAGCGCAGCACCCTCCCTCTCAAATCTAAGCAAATCCACTTTGGACGCCAGTGCACCATTTGTTACTGTTGTCCAAGATTTCTGGTGTACTGCACCTAGTCAGAATTTAGGAACAAGACTATTCTCCCCAGAAAAGGATGAGCATCATCAATGTTCAGATGAAGTTAACCTTGACTGAGAAATCAATAGTGGCTCTCAATATAAAGGAAAAACAATATGCATATAGTGTATTTTGCAAATATGGAGTCTTCATTCTACTTCAGTGAAAACAAACATGATAATTTCATTCAAGGCTGCTCAAATGGATTAACTAACCAAACAAACAAAACAAAACTGGGGCAGTACAGGCATGATGGGTTAAGTGGTCTCATTCTGTTCTGCAAGACTCTGATATTAGGCTGAGTTGAAATTGTCTCATTTAACCGAAATTTTACTCCATTACAATAAGAAATTTACTCCTTAAAAAAAACTCCACACTTTTTGTTGCTACTTTTCCCTCAAACTCAAGGTAAAAAGGAATGTTTGGTATTATATTTGAGAAAGTGTTCAAGAACTGTATTCTGCTTATCCAGAAATTCAAGTATCTCCTAAGGGTGGGGTGCTTTTCATACATCTGACCGACGGCGGCCAAACCCTGTCCCAAGGTAGGTTTGTCTGTGATCAGTATTTAGGGTGTTAACTGGTTGTTTGGTTACACAACAATGCATGGTCCCTGCACTTGTGGAAAGGGACGTGAGATCACCAAATGGTAGCAATATTTTACTCATCTGAGCTAGACCGCAAACCATCATAGTTCATTTCTCTGAACTTGAACTATTAGTGTATGAAGACAACATCCCACCCTGAAAGATTTATTCCTGAAAAGTGAAAATAAAACAAGTTACGTGGAAATCAGACACTGCAATTTGCCAGATGAATATCTTTAGTTATTTAACTCAAAATTTAAAAAAATTAGATGGAAACCCACAGTGGATCACAAATATTATTACACTCATAGAAATGCCAACTGAATTGAGAATACACCTTCAGAAAGCAGGAGCCTGCCAAAGCAGAAGTGAATTGCCAGGTTTGGGGAACAGAAGCAAGAGAGATAAATCGAAAAAAAATCAATGACGAGAAAGCAAAAAAACAGACAAAAAGAGGCTAAAAGAGATGTCTGTGTCAATTCAAGGTACTTTTCCTGTTGCAGGTTCCTCAAAGCCTTAGTGTTGTCTGTGTCTCAATCTACATCCACTTGAGCAGAAAGTGAGCAACATATTAAGGTACCGCAGGAACAGTGCAAGAAAAAGCAACAGAGAAACAGTCAGAAAGTAAATGGAGCATGGGGTGGTGGCGTGGGAAGGATGAGGAACAGAAAAAGTCCAATTTTTTTTATATAAGAAAGATTAGCAGGACGGTGTGTGTATCTGACTCAAAAATAGCCTCCAGCACCGACAGGCAACTCCAAACTTTGGAACAATCAAGTCCCCATATTTGTGCTCAATGTGGAACAGATGTCACCAATTCATTTTGCAGGTTGGCAGGGAAGAGTGCGCACACGGATTTGTGTGTGTGCGCGCGTGTGCGCACCCATGTGTGCGTTTGGGATGGGGGGGGGGGGGGGGGGGGGTGCAGGTAGAAGATATCTTAGAAGCATTTAAAAACAAACACCCATCTTGTTTACTCTCTTCCAGCACACAGCCACTTTCAGTTCATGGCTGTGTCTGAGCAACAGCCAAGGGACATGGGAGAAAGATGCAGATTCTGATCATTGTCCTTTTCATTAGCAGCCATCAGTCATGGTCCATGATTCACAGCCTCTGCCATCGCCTCCTTACTTCCAGCTTGGAGCATCGCAGTCTCTGTCCATCTCGCTTTAGAGAATCTGTGAGGACGTTCTTCCCCACGCTGGACAGACACAGAGAAAACACCTGGTACAAATCAGGATATTACCAGTACAGATTCTGTACTCCTTTTGTGTATGTACCCTCTTAGTGGATCGTCTACGTGCTCAGTTTGAACTGTTGTTATTAGATGATCCAGAGGTTGATGCAACCACACCTGGGCTGGTGCTGGATACTGATTTTCTAATATGAGGCATCAAGTACGGGTCACTGGCAAGTTGCTGAACATCTATTCGGTCCTCTTTACGATATGCCAGACAGCGACGAATAAAGGCCTGCAACAGGACGAGAGAAAGAAAAATTCTCATTAAAGTTGGAATTCCCAAAACCTGACAAGTATCAGACTATTTTGGTATTGATAAGGAAGCAAGTTAGAATAACTTAAGACGTAAATGTTTTAATCTGGGGGAGTTAATTACTACAATCAAGTAGGGAACTGAAAGGTAGGTTTTGCTTAGACATTACATGAACAGTCATGTGAGATTTTATCTGGAAACCATTTGGAACGGTTTCAAACGAATAGGAAAATGTACCCAGGATGTTACAGCGCAGAGCAAGACCATTCATTTTGGATTTTCTTGTCATCTACACATTTAATAGCTCCTCTCTGTCATCATTAACAGTCTTTTCTTGAAAAAAATCCATGCATCAATTAAAACAGTGAATTTCAAAATTTCTGCTCAGCATTCCCTGCCCTGACAACTGTTGGGCTCTACTTACCACGACCATCAGTGAAAATCATTTTCCCTGATTTAATAAAAACCCTAACCATTTTGACCATCGTGATAAAATCCTTTAGTTGTATCCCTTTCTTTGTACTGAGCAAGCCAGCAATCTATGACAGGTAACATTTATGGAGAAGACAATTCCAGGAAATGCTAAGTAGCAATTCTGTTCAGCAATAGAGAAGAAATCTATTCTAAATATCTTAATGCGTCATTCAGGATAGTTTAGAAGTGACTGAAGAAGAGTTCAAAGGTTACAGGAAGTTAGAGTGGACATGACAGAGCACCAGAAGCAGAACTCCCTATTAGGAGTGTTGCAAATCACTGTACTACAAAGAACACATCTGAACTACAAAGAACACATCTGAACTACAAAGAACACATCTGAACTACAAAGATTCTGTGAAGGGGACTCAGCTGACTGAAAGAAGAACCAGAGAAAACAGAGGCAAGTGAAGCGTGTACCTTCTCAGCCCAATGACGTGCCGTGCAGCAAATGTGACAGATGCTTCTATGTCAGAATGGGGTTCCTTAACCACATAGATGGGTGCCTAACAAATAGCTGATCACCACGGCCTTACAAAACTGAAGGCTGTTCATAACTACTCCATTATTAGCTCCGAAGGCAAGTTAACAGTTGATGAGATGTCATTCAGTTCAGTTTCTTAGAATGTTATATTTCATAACAGAAAAAAAAAAGGCAGACATTATCAAATGTGGCAAAACTGTACAAAGTGACTCAGTTTGTACAGGGCTATAAAATGACTTCATGCTCCTCCAGCTTACTTGGAGCAATTTACTTAACAGAGAATAAATATATCTTCTGGAGAATTGATATTACTTCTCTCTTTGTGGCCTTCGCCTCCACATTTACTTCTGGTATCTACAGATCTCTAAAATGTCTTGCTTCACAGAAATTAAGCACCACAAGCTGCAGGAAACACCAAAAATTAATGGTAAATGGATCCATATTCTGCAAAACAAGTATCCATCCATGATATGAGGCTGTAGACTTGCTCACCTCATCCACAACCCAAGTGACAAATCTTAAAAACTTCATCAATGATATATTTAAATCATCTTTTATCGGCTTATGGATGGCCAAACTGTCCATAGAAACTGCTCCCTTCTGGGAAAGTGTTCACTCACGAGTCACTTGAATGGCTACAGAATCCTGAACTATGACTTCTACAACTTACCTTTATGACTGCTGCTACATCTGCTGTGCCTGGTCATTTCTATCTGGACTAATCCTGGACTACTCTTGAAAATATTTATAAATCCCTAGTCATGCTCAGACCAGCACAAAATATGTCTCTCTCAGGCTACTAAAGATTAATAGGAGTCAACTGTCCCGCCTAGCTGACAAGCAAAAAAATGCTTTAAGTCTGCATTATGCAAATTTACCTATAAACCTGTTCATTTCCTGGTTAATCCCAGCAAGCTAAAGACGGCATTACATATACATTTGGCTGCACATCATTTTGTAAAGGGTTTACCAAAAATTTTATTGCCAAGCACCTAATGGCCTGAATTGACTGATGTCCTTGGTTCCACTGACCCAGAATGCTGAGGCTATTAACATCAACAAAACCTGCGAACAAGTGATAAATACGGGAAACAAATTACACTGCCAAAATTTTTAAATATTAGATGTGGCATTAGGATTGCTTGGCAAGTACATTAGATCATACAAGATTCATTTACTTGTACTATACAAATCTCAGCAAGCTTGTGCCAAAACAGAGCCAGAGTAATCATTGTGAAAGCAATCACTGAAACTGAGTTGGAAGTGTAAATTTCTGAAGATTATTTAACTTTCCAATAGACACCATAATCACACAAGCATGAATTTGGAGATAAATTTGCCAGTGTGTACATCCTCAATGAAAGTTAGCACAACACATCACTGAAGACACATTACTCTGCACTTCTAATCATCACATTAAAGCAAGGATGTGATTGCAGCCACTCCCACGCAGAGGAGGTTTACCAGGATGCTGCGTGGGCTGGTGGGTCTGAGCTATGAGGAACGATGGATAGACTAGGGTTGTCTTCCCTAGGGTTGAAAGGTGACCCGATACAGGCATACAAGATTAGGAGGGTTATAGGTAGCTTGGATATGAAGGCATTTTCTCCATTAGTAAGTGGGTCAATATCCAGGGGACATAGATTTAAGGAGAGGGGCAGACAACAAAAAGGAAAGTTGAGAATTCTTTCACCCAGAAGGTGGTGAGAGTCTGGACCTCACTGCCCGAAAAAAAGAGTGGTTGCGTCAGAAACACTAACATTTAAGTAGCACTTGATTCACTTGTGTTTCCACAGCTTTCAAAGGCTTATGAGACAAGAGCCAAAAATTGGAATTAGTGAAGTCAGATCTTTGCTGACTGGCATGCTTACAATGGGCTGAATGGCCTCCTTCTGTGATGTAAACACAGGTTAATGAGGAAAGGCTGGCATCTGCATCAATCTTCTGATGGAGGTGCAGAGTGGATAATCCATCTGTCTTCTCGTGAAGGTTACAGTATCACAAATGTCAATCTTTAAACAATTTGATTCACTCCATTTGTATCAAGAAAAGACAGAGGAAGTGGATATTCCAAAGACTTTGGGCCTTGACCATGGTGCTGAAGACTAAGAACAGGACAAATCCAATCCAGCCAATTATCGCTCCAGCAGTCTACTCTTAATCATCAAGAAAGTGATGATGTTGATTGCTATCGAGCAGTAGTCACTCAGCAACAACCTGCTCACGTTTCACAGTTTGGGTCTACAAAGGCCATTTAGCTTATTTTGGGCTTGTAACAGTCTTGGTGCAGACAAAAAGTTGAATTTAACAAGCAGGGCAAGACTGAAGGCAGCATCTAACAAAGAAACTGGTGGGAAAGTTCTCTACTGTTTGTAGTCATACCAAACACAAAAGGAATTTGGTAGAACAGTAGTTGCTGGAGTTCAATCATCTCAGCCCCGGGAGATCATGCACAAATTTCTCAAGGTAGTGTCTGCAGCCCAACCGTCTTCAGGTGCTTCATCAATGAATTTCCTTCCCACATAAAATCAGAGTGAAAATGCTTGCTGACGACTGCAAAATAATTCAGTACCATTCATAACTCTTTGGGTACTGATGTAGTCTGCGACCATACGTAACAAAACCTGAACAACATTCAGGTTTATGCTGAGTGAGGAAAACGGAGGAAAATACTGCCAGAAATAATGGGGCATTTAGAGACTGGCGCAAATAAAGAACTAGGAGGTTTGACTATTCATTTAAAAATTAGTTTAAATCACTAGAAAAATTAATGGGATTTAAAATGGATAAATCTCCTGGATTGGATGATCTGCATTCCTAGTATTGAAAGAGGTGGCTATAAAGGTAGTAGATGCATTGGTGATCATCTTTCAAAATTCAATACACTCTGGAGTGCTTTCTGCAGATTGGAAAGTGATAAATGTAAGCCCACTATTTAAGAAAGGAAGAAGAGAGAAAACAGAGCACTATAAATTTGTAACCCTAGTATCAGGCATAAGGAAAATCTTTGAAGCTATAATGTAGGATGCGATAACAGAATACTCAAAGTAATGACATGATTGTACGAAGTCAACATGGATTTATTAAAGAGAAATCCTGTTTGAAAAACCTTTTATGGTTTTTCAGAATATAACTAGCAGAATAAATGAGGGAAAACTAGTGGATGTAGCATATTTAGATTTTCTGAAAGCTTTTCAAAAAGGTCCTTCACAAAACAAGACTATATGGGAAATTATGCTGCTGCGGATTGAGAAGTGGTTAATGGATAGAAAACAGTAGGTATAATTGGGCCTTTGTCAGAGGCAGACTGTGACTAGTAGGGTACCACAAGAATTAGTGCCTGGATCTCAGATATATGCAATCTATATCATGATTCTCATGTGGGGATTAAATGTAATAAATCTAAGTTTGTAGATGACTCAAGACTAGGTGAAAGTGAGTTATGAGCAAGATGCAAAGACACTTCAGGAGGATTTGGAGAAACTAAGTGGGAAAAAAAATTAGCAGATTGAATAGAATGCGGAGATTGAAACATTATCTGCTTTAGTTAAATAAACAGAAATACAAAGTATTTCTTATATGGTGAGATAGTGGGAAAGGCTGAACATTGAAGGAACATTGGAGGCCTTATTCATGAAAGTTAACATACAGATGCAGCAAACATTTAAGGTGGCAAATGGCACATTAAGATTTGAGTACACAGAGCATTGGTGTAATGAAACCTAGAATACAGTGCAGAGTTTTGAATTCCTTTCTATATAAAGTTATACATACAGAGTGTGAGAGAGAATAAGAAAACAATGAAGATGTACCAAACTAATTTCTGGGATGGACGGATTGTCCTAAGAAAAAAGATCAAACTGTCTAGGCCCTTATTCTCCTAAGTTAGATGATGTTTCAAAATATATTTGATAGATGATCGTACAGTTGTGGTTAGGAAATTGTCCAATCAACTTCTGACTTCACTGTATGTGTCAGATACTTTGGGTGCCTTTACAAAGGGGTTCAATTAATAGGTGTG